TTGTTTACTTTTATAATACATATTTTTTGGTCTCGCCGATGAAGCTCTTTGAATTGCTTTTGAGTGGGGTCGCGGAATACAAATGTTGAGGGTAACTTTCAAAGGTCCGACAGTTTCTACACATGACGGAGTGCCCGAAATAATACAGGTTAGTGTGGGTAATCAGAAGATGGAGTCTGAATGTGATATTGCGGAACATTCCGAATTCTATTATGATACCCAGGTAAACACGGGAGGAGTACGGGAGCACGTTTTCGTCTACACCTCGTTAGGACAGTACAATTATATACGTCCGTGTACAATAGCGAGTCATCAGTAGTACTGACTGCGGAGAGATGTCTGATTTGCTTAAAAGGACCAAACACGATTTATAATGGAGTACTTAAAGGTGTGCGTGTTGGTCTCATAGGACGTCGGGGAAGGAAGTGGAAATTTTAAGTATTGCACTTGGCTGGCAGGATGATCGCTGACCCGGCCGCTGCAACGATTCATTGGCGCAGTAATTTGGGGTGCCCCAAAAACAGTGAACGACTTGCAGCAAATGACCGGACGTCTACTTGGTGGTCTGTGTCAGTATGCATCGCAATTGTTCTAGAGATGGATTTATTCATGCCTCGGTCTGGTCGATTGCGGTCATGCTCTTGCCTTCTTATGGATGGGCGTCTTACCTGCTGACCGATAGAAATGTTAACATAGCAGGAATTAATTATGTCCATGTGCTGAAAAAGTTGACCTAACGTGACCGACAGAATTGTGTGCGCAAGAGAGCAGTTCAGGCGGTTGTAGGATTTCGTTGGACGGACGTAGTTAAAGGCCTTACTCAAAGAATCGATCTTTTGGCCAGCGAACTGCATCGTTGATTATGATTTAGAGTGACAGTTTATGTACAGTAGGTGAGTTAACTAGTGAAATGTCAACTGAAATTCTGAAATGCGATTTCGTTTCGAGAAGACTCCTTAAGAAGGGTTGTAAAACTTGTCAACCTGCAACATAATTCTATAATATTTCAATTATCTCAGGATGACGGCCTTTGAATAAACTTTCTTCCGATTGCACGCAAAACCTAGACTCTCTAAAGATGACCACTTATCTGGCATGAATTTTTAAAATTTTTTGTCATTGCCCCTACAACTGAAATTATATTTCTGGGAAAACGTGCATATAAATATTCATTCGTTTGCCGATTCGGTAGAAAATTACGTCTTCTTCCAATTGTATACACGATGGGTAGATATAATTCGGTTTTCAAAATCTTTTCCAATTCCCGAATAATTTTGAACCCGCTCTGCGTTACACTTGGATTTAGGGTTTCCAACCAACAAGCCGTCTCTTTTCCGCGTGCTGAAAACCACACATGTCTGCACCGTAATAAAGGGAACTATATAGTGTTTATAAA